ACAGCCTTGGGATGTTCCTGAGAAACCTTCTCAAAGAAGCTCCCTCTGCTTAGGTGAAGAGATGTTATAAAACAAACTTCTTAAGGACCAGCAATGCAAATCCTGCTGGTTTGGGGCAGTTACCTGGTGGGGTAGTTACAAAAAACTTGGTTTAACTGATGTGTCCATTTTGGACCCTCTAGGCAGCAGTACCACAGATGACTTACATAGGAAGGGAAGGAAGAGGAATGAATGCTGCTCTTTTTTTCTTGAGGATCAAATTGTGCCATATTGATTGAGTCACTTTAACCTAAATCTCCTTACAGCTTTTTCCTTGGGAGCTTCTTCATGACACAAGGGAATTGAACAGTAGCAGCTCCCCTCCCAGCACATCCCCCAAAGCAGAGGTGCACGCACAGGGGAGACCCTCATTTCACCTGGGATCTCGTGGCAGCTCGATGGACTGCAAAAGGGAAGAGGAGTGGAGGCCAAGCAGAGCAGCTGAAGCACGGACAGCACGGCCCTGACAGAAAGAGGGAGTGCTGGGGGCTGGAAACATCAAGCCAAGCAGCTGGCAGCCCTCCTTTGGCTCCTTGTAGGCTCAGCAATCAGATTTTGATGAGCAATCGGCTGTTTCTCTTTCAGGAAAAGCAGCCTGGCTGAGCAGGCCGAGGAGTACACACATCACCCTACCTGCCATGGAGATACCTGATGTCATCTCCACCACCTCTCAGGGCCCAGGCACCATCTGGCCTCAGATGTAAACGCTGAAGCACACAGAACCCCAGCAGACCAGGAGGTCTTCATCTATCCCACTCTTTTCACAGGCATCTGTGATGCTCCAGCAACCCCACAGCTCAGCGTGGGGCACGTCCCTCTCAGCTGGTGCAATGCTCCATTTCGTGTCTTCGCTGATTTACACCAGCATAGATCTTTGAAATAGCTTAGGTAGACAAAGAAAAACAGAGGGCTGCTGCAGCTCCTTCTCCTGCTCCTGATGTTTATACAATAGCCTTCAAAAAGATTTTAATAATAATCAAAAAATGAAAATACAACTGGGCCATCGATCCCAATGTTGTTTTGCTGAGCAACAGACCTCCTGCTTGCCGCTGAGCAAAAAGGAAAAAGCAATTATAAGAGATGCCTGGATGAATCCCCTGATCTGTCGATATTTCTGATGGAGATAAATTTGGTTGGTAAAAGCAAAGTTCCAGGCCTGAGAATAAAGGAACCTATAGACATTAATAACAACGGAAATCAAACTGCCAGACTCATTCAAGGAGTGGGGAAAGATAGGGAGAAGGAGGGGGAAGAGTAGCTCTGTGGCTCTGCAGGGGGAAAGGAAAGAAGGGAAGGGAAGGGAAGGGAAGGGAAGGGAAGGGAAGGAAGAAACTGAGCTGGAGGATTTAGTAGGACACTGATCTGGGATTCAGCCCCTCATCAGGCACCTGGAAAGGGACTGAGTTAATGAAGAGCAGCTGCAGAGTTTGAAAGTTGGCTCTTATTTTGGCCCATAATTTGCATGTAAATGTTAAGTCTTTCCTAATAGCTCCAGGCCAGGTATCTGCCAGTGCAGCAGCATGGGACCAGACTAGAAATCTTCCTGCCCTTTGGGAGAGACAGCAGATAAAGCCAAGTTTTGCAGTCTTGATTCATTCCTAATTCTGCTGCAGATCACAACAGCAAGCATGGGAGTTGCCTTCAGGTCTGACTCCTCCGCTATGTCACGCCATTGATCTTATGGTGTGATTCCCCGGTCTGAGGATGTTTTGCTCTTGTTCTGGGGAATTTTGCCAATTAATACCAAGTGAAAACCTGTCCCGTGGCACTCTGTCCTTGTTTATCACAGCTTCTTGGGACATGCCAGAGAGGATCAGGGTTAAACTGTAACAAGAAAGTACTGTTGGGCATTAACAAACATCCTGGTGGTGGGGACAGGGATGTGTTGGTACTGACTGCCTGGGCAGGGTGAAGTCTCCTCAGGGGCAGGCTCTGAGACTTACAAAGTTCCTTCGGAAATATGCTGGATCACACCCTGCAAAGGCCACCCCTGCAGCCTGTCCCTGTCCTCTCCTAGCTGCCAGGACAGCAGCTCCTGCCTTGCTGCAGGCGCGCAGACCCTGCAGGGTCCCTGGTGCCACTGTCGTTCCCAGCTCAGGTGGTGCAGCACACACGGGGCTTTGCTCTGCTTTTAACTTCTGCAGTTGATGGGGATCCACCTGGATGGCTTCTTTCCGAAGGCTCTTGATAAGAGCTAGGTATCTGTTGGAGATGACCTACGCTGGAGATATCCCCGTGTCTCTGCCCTAGATTCACTCTGTAAAGGCACAAATGGACACCCAACCCTCCCTGGTTCCCCCAACACATTCTCATGTTTTAGCCTGCAGAGCTGGTGGGGTTTTCCTCTGGTCTCTTGACGGTGGGATGGCCTCCATGAAGGCTTTTAGAAGAACTGGGCTTTGGCAGACCATATGCATGGTGCGTGCTGCAAACACATCCAAAGATGCTCAATGATTTCACAGCATAAATTGCAAGGAGTTTGTGGAAAGCAGTGGGAGACTGCAGCAAACTTGGGCAAGTTGTGCTTGAAGCTGGTCTGCAGGCTGCGTGTACACGCTGCTTACTGAGGAGCAGCTGAGATGGTTTCCCAGATCTCTTTACCAAGAAGAAGGGGATCCCATTGCTCTTCTCTCTTTTCCTCCCTCTAGCTCTGCATCCTACCTTGCGAGGCTGATGCTGGATGCAGGCTGGGATGGACACCAGTGCTGCAGCCTCCAAAAGCTGTGTGTGTGATTCAGAAATAACACATTTATTATTTTTTTTATCTAATATAAAATTAAGGTCAGATCCACTATGAATATTTTTTCTTCCTACACACAGAATACAAGTTGGGAGAGGAAGGCTGATTGTGTATTTTCATGGGAATTAAACTATATCACATTTTTTTAATGAAATACTATCTGAATTTAACACTGAAGCCTCATTTTTAAATGTAACAGTTGAAAAATTTTATACTGAAAAATGTTAAAATGTAACAATTTGGCTTAAAAAGAAGACAAAAATGCAGATTTCAATAAATTGTTTTGTTTGACCTAAATTTGACATTTCAAACAACACTGAATTTAAAAAAAAAAAAAATCATGCCTGGTTCTAATTAGCAATGAGTGTTACCATCGGTCAGGTGAAATAATCAGTGGTCTTGAGCTTCGAGATGATTGCAAAATGCTTCAAGTGAAATAAATGCTAACGCAAACAGCTTTAAACAGCCCAGCAGAAGTCTCCTTGCCAGGACATCTTCATTAATTCTCCACCAGTCTACGCATTTCCCGAGTAAAGGAGGAGGCTGCAACAGAGAGGGAGAACAGGAATTTTTTAAGGCCCCTTCAGACCTGATAAAGAAGCAAGAGGTGACACAAGTTCTGGGAGTGTGCTTTTAACATCTGTGAAAGTGCAGATGGGAGTGGGAAGCCATCGCTGGGCTTTATCGGGGTTATCCAGGAGCAGGGTGCAGGCGGCACCAGGCGCGGAGCCCCAGGCCACCCAGCTCTGCAGTGCTCAGCTGAATGAAGTAGCCACAGCAGCTGGCCTGGATGCTCCCTGCTGCAATTTAATCAGCCTTATGCTACTTTAGTTTAAGTAAATTAAATTAAACCTCAGCTAAACCCAAGTAAGCCACATGTCTGTTCAAAACGGAGGGAACTGGCTCCACTGCAGCAGCTGGGAATGTCGCTGCTGCCAGCCCTGGGGCTGTGGATTTGTTCACAGAGTCTGTAAAGGTGGCTGTGGGGGTTGATGGAAAAGCTCATGGACAGAAAACAAATGCAAGTTCAGCAGGGACAGGCAGAGTGGGGCATCAAGAGCAAGCAGTATCAGATCCTGGGAGATATCCTATACTGGTCATTCCATACAGGGCAAGCCCAGGAAGGTCCCGAAGGGCAGGGAGATGTCCTCACCAAAGTCATCCTCTCCAGTTTCCATTTTTTTTTGGGTGCAGATTCATTACGGTAACCACAGCAGGGCTGTTATTTCCCATACTTCTTTGCCCTGCTGTATCCTGTGCTTGCTCCTGGCTTATAAGAGATGAAGTTATTTTGATCAGACCTGTGCAAGCCCCAAAAGTCCCTCTGTGTTTCTCCCAAGCCATTGCCAAGCCCTCCCATAAGTTGCTCAAAACAAGAAAGCAAGAGGAGCCCCTCCAGTCTCTGCAGGAGGTAGAGCAGATGCAGAGCCAAAGCCAGATCCTTATCGCCAGGATGTCTGGGAACATTCAGGCACTGAACCAGTTCGGATTTCCTCTTGGAAAGTGCCCTAAGGATGGCAGGGAATGAAGGGGGTGAATCGCACACAGCCCTCGAAGCACTTCACTTTCATTCATCAGAAAAATCATTCAGTATTTCATTCTTTGGATGCCAGCAAATGCACGAACCCATCCCATCCACATTGCCAAGTGCTGCGCTGGTATGTGCAGGCATGAGGAATGAGTTCAGGTGAAATATGCCTGAAATATTGAAATATTGAAATATTGCTCTCAGAGGGCTCTGCTCGCACTGCAGGCACCAGGACAGCTGCTTGTTGAGGCGCTGTGCTGAGCAGGACACGGTGCCACCCCAGGAAACCCCCAGTGCCCCATGCCAAGCATTGGGAAACAGAGTGGGGCCCAGAGGCTTTTGGTGTTTGCCTGAACTGCCCTTCGGAGAGATGGGATTTAATTTATTTATTTATGATATAAATATGCAGTATCATGCTTTAGAGGCGGAGGAGGAGCTCAGCTAGCTGCTACCTGCTTGTACAAGAATAAGTCCTTGGTATTGATAATCAAATTTCCCTGTGTCATTATCAGCAGTGGTCTTGACAGCTGTTGCAGTAAACCAGCATGACAGCAAAGTGGGCAAACACCTTGCACGAACTCTCTTTAAAAAGTATATATATATTTTTTTCTTTTAATGATCCATTATTTGCTGAGCTGTCCAGTGCCCAAATAATAATAATAGTAATAATAATAAAACTGCTGGAAGAAAAAAAAAAAAAAAAACTATTTCTGGTTAGATGACCAAAAGAGTCTGGCTCACCACATTCAGACACCGAAATAAAAGTGTACAAGGAAACCTACGAGCACAGAGCCCAGGCACACCAAATGATGCTGCCAAATGCCTGAGATGCTGAGACCATGAGAAAATCCACTCCACACCTTGTTCTTGTCCAACCTGGCAAATCGAGCCGCAGAGCTTAAAAGTGAAAGACGGCACCCACACTTGTTTCTGTGGGTGAGGAGTGAAAACAAAGCCGTTAACCCTGCCCACCACGCAGTGGCCGTAGGAGCTGGCACCGCAGCACCTGCTGCCGTGTGAGCAATGCCCACGTCCTCACCGCAGAGCGAGAAACCGCGGTGCAGAGACCTTGCCGGGCTTCCTGCCGCCACCTCATTCACCGCTGGGGACGGCAGGAGGTGGTGGGACGGGGCCAGGGCCAGGGCTATGAGAAGAGAACTCTGCTCTGTTACCAGAAGAGAGGAGAGGACGAAAGCACTGAAAAACCATCTTCAGAAAGGCCAGCAGGACGCTGAAGGGTTGGTGACAGAAAGAGATCCAGTCCCGAAGACCTTCGCTCTGCACAGCACCAGGAGAAACCGTAAGGACTGCAGGGGTATTTTTGTTGTCATTTCTCTGGGGGGCTTTATGGAAGCAGGGCTGGCTTGGCTTTCTAGTGTCAAGAACTGAGGCTGGTTTTACACCACTTCATAGCTTCTGGAAGGAACCCATCTGTGCAAAACAAGCGTGAGACGGCACCAAATCAGGGCTTCCCACTTCCACTGGTGCAAGTGCTTTGCACGCATTTCCCACAGGTTCGTGGCAGATGAGCAAAGCACTGAAGTCAGGCTTAGTTTTCCTCCTGGGATCAATAAGTCACCTCCAAATTTCTTTAATCTCAGCTAGACTGTTCCCATCCGACACTTGCTATTTGTGGGGAGTGGGTGGCTGTGTGAGCTGGTGCTTCTGCTCCCTGGAGGAATGATTGACACCATGTAAAAGAGCTGCACTGAAAAAGATGAGAGAAGAGTTGTTTGGGCTGATATTTGTGAAGCATTTCCAATTTGCAAGCACAGTCAAGAGTGGTGCTGCAGGAATCCCTGTGCTTGTAACCAGAAACTGGTGTCACTGCGGGCCAGGCAGGTGCAGGTCGTGCAGGCGGGCAGCTCATCTTCATCTCATGGTCTTTCCAAGCATCAAAAGCAGGCTGGTGCAGGGTCCTGAGAGATTCTCTGCATGTTCTACTGTGCAGGAAAGTGAATTTCCAGGGAAGATGTTAGCAAACCTTCTTCCCCCACTCCTGTTCTACAGCTTGAGGTTAGCAAAGTGTGAGCTCTTCAGTGTAACTACTTGAAGAGATTGTCTTTGCTTCAGGAAATTGGAAGACATTTTTATGTGTTCTGGAGAGGCAGAGCACCTAGTAAGTGGAAACAAATACAGCTGTCGTTCCTTTGGAGTATAACCCAGTAAGTGGAAACAATAGCCGGGAGCTTTGTGAAAGCAGGGCAACTGCAGCCTTGGGCTTAGTAGTTGTATGCTTTGCTTGCACTTCACATTACATTTCCAAATCAATTTCCTCTCAATAGCTACCCATCTGAGATATTTGGGCCCATTAGGGTTCAGCCTCGATGGCTTCCCCCACAGCAGTTGCAGAGGAGGCTCAGCTGGCGCCTGCCAAGGTTCCCACAGGAGACATCAGTGAGCACACCAGCAGGCGGGGAAGCTCTGCCAGTGTCACCAAAAAGAAAAGGAAAATAAAAAATAAAAAAAAATGAATGCAGCAGAGAGCAACACCAGCACCATGTGGCTCCCACCATGATTGGGCTGTCCCCATCGCCACAGGACCACAGATGACACCAGCAAATGGCCTTGGTCTTGCTCTCTGGGCTGGGATCGGCTCCGGCCTCAGCACCTTCTGCCCAGCCTATGCAGAGCTCGGGTAGCAGTGGGGCTTGCAGGAGATAGAGAAGCAGAAATGGTTAAAAAATTGAAATGAAAAGCAGGTAGAGCTGGTTGGCTGAAGCCAGCAGCACCAAGCTTTATTACTGAAGGGGCAGAGGAGGATGAGAACACCCAAAGTTCAGAGTAATGGAGTCACATGTTGGGCTGGCAGCTTTGCCCCAGCACAGCCCCGGGTCCCTCTCAGATGGCCACCACAGAGCACAGGAAGATAAGTGGTGAGTTTGGAAATGGAGAGCAGGAAAACAGTGTCATGCCCTGGAGCAGGTCCCCAGCAGGTGCAGGAGGGTGCCCCAGGACAGCCTGGCACAGAGGGCGGAGGAGGCTGCGGTAGCTGGAGGAGCCTGTGTGTGATGTGGGGAACAAGAGAATCACGGGTTTGGGGCTGATTCCATTGGGATTGGAGTAAATCAGGAGCAGGCCACGGTTCAAGAGCAGCAGAAAAGGAACAAGCTCTGAGTCATGGGGAAAATCTCAAAATCAAAATTAAAACAAAATTGAGAACTTGGTAAAAAGTTTTGAGACTCACGAGGATGGGCCTTTTTCTTTGCGTCCTACCACGTGGAACCACCGGGGTCGTCACAGCCAAGGAGGCAACTGCTGCCAGATCTATTGCAAACCACCGAAGTCAGCAGAAGACCAAAGCAGTCTTGCTGCAACCTACAAGCAACATCCCTAAAACTCAGCTGACGTTTCACTGCCTACAGCCTCGGGGCACCTCAGCTCCAAAATTAAACCTTCCTTACCGGGTGCTTGCAAAGCAGGGCATGGCGCCTGGGATTAAGAGAGTGCTGAGATAAGTGAATGTTGGGTATGTCTCATAATGGAAAGGATATTTCTCTAATTGAGAGAGTTTCCTGGCTCTGATGTAACCAGGAGAATTATTTCTCAATGTGTCATCTTTACTGTCGAGCTGCAGCCACGTGCTCAGTATGGGCTCAAAATTGTCTTGCTTGCGCCATCAGCGTGGCAGTTATTTATAGGTGGCATTTACACGCCGCTGCTCTGAGCACACCTGTGACCATCCCAATTTGAGGGCACTCCTGTGCACTGGGCTCCATCAGGGACAAAACCGAGGGATGGAAGGACACAGAGGCTCTGTGGCTTCCACGCCAGCCAGCCAAGTCCCAGACTGGTGCCTCGGCCTTTCTTCTCTGCTTGCTGTGGCTCAGGGTGGGCAGAGGTGATGGGAAGCCAAGGAGAGGTGCAAAGCTTGGGGCACTCTGCATGTTTACCTGAGCTGCAGAATCATCTTGAGTTTGCAAAACAGTGACGGAAATTGCTCAGTGGCAAAATATCTATTGCTTTCTGCTTCCAGTCAGGCTAAAAATAAAATAAAACTTTGTGCCAGGCTTGTTGTTGCTGCAACCACATTCAGCCTCAGCACAGCAAGACGGGGGTGAGCATGGGCTGATACCATGCTGGTTTTTGGCAGCGCAACTCCCAGCCCCAGCCAGAACAAGGAAGGGAAGCTGGGGGTGAGCAGCCAGCCCAGAACCAATTCTCCGCAGCTCTCCATGTCCCCAGTCTCCGTCTCCTCCTCCAAGGTCTCTGCAAACAGCTCCCAGCAATGTGTATCTGAAAGGCTGGAGACAAAATCTGCTGCAATCCTGCTCCTGTAACATCCTGGCTTTGTGTTGGGGCGGGAGATGGTTGTACCCTGGGGTGGCTTCAAGCTGCCTTGTTTTTGCCAGGCTCTGTCACACAGCCTTGCCTTTCCCTGTAAAGGCAAAACTGGTGTTTTACCTTGGTTCTGATTACTCGGAGATGATTGACTTGGAAGTGCCACACAGCATGTGCTGAGATGGGGAGGGAATTGTTGTTTCACCGAGGGTGAAAGCCCACATCAGGGACCTGCCAGACAAATTGCTGGTGTGACGGGGTTGATGTGGCTCAAGGGATGCCTGACTATTGTCTGTGTGGAGCTGTGGGAATTGTGACTGGGGAACAGCAGCCAAACACGGGGTGGCTGGATACCCTACAGCAGGTTTTCCTCCACCCTGGCACAATCAGCTCCCCAGGGTGACATTTTCTGCTCCTGAGCTGCCCACCCCAGCAGAGTTGGAGCAGGGGGGGAAGGACCAAGCCCACCACCCCTGGCCCTTTAGCTGCAGCAGGTCCCACAGGCAGCGATGGGAAGGAGACATCCAAGTCTGGCAGTTTCTGCTGGGTTCTGCTGGGAGCCAAACAGGAAGCAGCACAAGGCAGGCCTGGCTCTGGGTGGAGGCTGCGTGCATTGTCATGATAAAGGGGAAAAGGGAATAGTGGAGGAAAGGAGCAAGCCAAGTACTTTAGAGGAACTGCTCGGGTATGGCCATGAGCCAGGGCATGGCTCCTGCTTCTGAGCACTGTGTGAACTCCTTCCTACCTCTGTGCTGCCCCCCTGTCCTCTGGGGACACATCCACACAGAGTAGCCACTACTCAAACACACACGTACAGAGCACAAAACCTTAGAGAGTCACTTCAAAACAGACCTTGTGAAACCCTCACATTCTTGCTGCAGGCAGTAGAAGATGCTCCCGTGGCAAAGCCACTCCTCTCCAGCGTGGCAGGAGACAGCTCAGCACACCTCCACAGCCCACCGCCACTGCTGCCAGCCAGGTCTCTGAGCACTGCAAAAAAAGGGAAATCCCTGCCAGCATCAAGTCCACTCTGGGCTGTTTTACACCCAGCCCCCTCCATCCACTGGCTTAGCACAGGAACTTTTTAAAGTAAGGTAAAATCTCTAATATTTTGGTATTGCACCTCAGAGCTTTGGCCAGGAGGTTCAACGGTTTATCTGGTTCCAAAGCCACAGCAAGGCTCAGAAATAAGAGCAGTCCCACCAGACGGTGCGTACCCTGCTTTCTGGTTTGGGTCTGGACTTTCTGCTCCAGGTTCAGAATGAATGAGAGACATGCACCTACCCAGGGCTGGACTCAGTTTGCTGAGCCAGGAGGTTATTGTTCTGCACTGTGTGATGGGGGCGAGAACTGAGTCAACTAAGCAACTAGCAAATTTCGACTAAATAAATGGGGACTCACCTATGCAGGCTGTGTTGTCAGCGCACTGGAAGGAGATAAGGCTCAGCTCCCACTGCAGAGATTTCACAAAAATTGATCATTTTAAACCCTTGCAATATCTAGCAGAAGTAATTATATTTCACACCTCAGATAAACAGAAAACATCCTCCAACACCTCCTGCTATCTCTGGCAGGGTGAGTATGGAGCTGCAGTTTCCACTGGGAAAGGATGTGTGGGTCAGGGGTAGAGAAAGCACCGGATAGGGTCAAAGTAACATGCAGATGCTGAAATTACTCCAACTTCTACTCATTTTCTAATCAGTTCTGAGCTGAGAAGTAGATTAAGAAGAAAAAACATAATTTGAAACAATGGGCAGGAAGGCTTCCAGAATGAAAGCTGCTCATGTCAGGCTCCTGCCTCATTTTCCTTTGACTGAGCACTTCGTGCAGCCTGGTGGAGCACCCAGCCCTGCGGGAAGTGCCTCTGATGGGGGGCTGGCAGCTAGGCCAGGGTCTCCATCCTGGCCTCCCCCAGCCACGGGGCCCTGAGGGCAAGGCTTCAGAGGTGGAACTGGGGAGTCAGTGCAAGGACATGTACTGCACGTGGCCGAAGAGCTAGTGGAGGGACCTTGGAGATGCAGGAGAGTCGCCTAACTGTACGGTTTCCGAGGCTAACGCCTTTTACCCATTTACCGCAAACTACTTCAGCAGCCATTCGTTAAATCATTTCAGAAAAACACATGGAAATATTAAGCAACCAAAAAAAAATTCCACCCCATCTTTCCATTCAGTCATATATATGTATATAAACATATTTTTGAGCGGATAAAAGCAAACAACAAGGAGTTGAAGTGTCATTTGTACCTTTGCGGTCCCGGTAAAAGTTTCCCGTCCCTTCTCCGGTTGCAGGTTCACAGAGAACAGGTACAGGGGCCAAAGCTGAATCAGGAAATAATAGGTAGAGGGGAAATTCAACAACCCGTGTGTGATGGTGGCTCTGAGGTTAGGCTCATCACCGAGCCTTGGGACTGCTTCCCAGCACCTCATGCCATTGTGACCTTCAAGATAACCGCATGAGAGAGGGCTCGTCGGTGCTCTGAATCCTGAAATGACTGACTGCTTACTCAGGCAACATCCTTCTGGGCAAATTAGTCACTTTTTGTCACTCGTTCTGGTTTCTTTGCTTTCGTATTGGCTCTGTGACGTGGCACTGGCCGGCCCTGCCGTATCTTCATCACCATCTGGTCGCTCTGCTCAAAAGGGCACCTTCATCACTCGGGTTAAGCCCAAGGCTCTGCTAGGCAGTTTTGTGCATCCTGGGCTGTGTTTGCTCATAGGGGGATTTCTCCAAAGACACTTTATGTTCCTGGCTGTCCTTTGCGGCTCTTACCATTCACGCTTTCCCAGAAATCTGCCTGATTGGAGAAACAGCCACACACCTTGCAATAACTGCAAATAAATTTGCCTTTTCCACACCTCTGCAAAGTATGAATCCCACATCACCGAACATGATTACTGCAATAAATAATTCTTATTCCTTCAAAACTGACAGGCCTTAACCTTTTACTTAGGTTTGTGTTTTTCCTCTTTTGTCACTGCTCTGCCAGGAGTGAGCCTTTGGCTGAAAGTGTTTCAGGAAGGCTGGGCTGTGGTTTTGAAGATGCAACCAAACAGTTTTCTTCTGGCTTCCCACTGGTGCCCCACGGTCACCTCTTGGCAAAGTCATGTACAGTCCCTTAATCAATTTCTGCCATCCTTGAGTCGGGCCTTGCAGCTCTCAATTTCCCTCTCACTCTGTTTTTAAACTCTTAAATGTTCAAATTCAGTGGCTGAGCCCAACAGAGACATGTTGCCCCTAGAAAAGCACCCCTGGGAGATGTGTCCCCTGATGAGCCCTGCGGCACCTTCACCAGCCCTCCCTGCCTGCATGGGCCTGCCCGGAGGTGGCCTTGGCCCCCCAGTGGTGGAGGGGGACTTTCTGTGGATTTATATTGTCCTAACAGCTAGTTCCAGGCAATCTCTACTCCACATTCTCAACACGTTGGCAACTTGTGCTTTCTTCCCTCTTTTACAGTAATACAGTTTTGCAAGCAGAAAGGGCTGGTCAGGGTGATCTAGTTGACTTACTTCATTAGCCACAAGGCTTTCCTAATTTTGCTGAGATTAGGAACTACCCAAACGGGAGCCAATATTTTCCTTTTCTGTTTGACTCTAGGTGCCAGCTCAGATTCTCCATCAATCACTTACTTTAACGTGAGCCAGAGGTGTCTGAAGGCCTGCACATGAGGTACAGGAAAGGCTGGCACACAAATAACTGCTGATCTCAGCTGCAAGCCATAAATCACATGTGTGCTGTGTTACTGCGGAGTGGCAGCTCTATTCCTCAGAAGAACAGTTATGCTAACAAGTCTCATAAATAACTTTCCTCTTTATTGTCACTTGATATTGGTGTGGCAGCTTACGTCACATGCTAATGTGCAAGACCATTCACCAGGCATGAATTTGGGCAGAGCTTTTAAATCCGTTTTTTATGCTTTAGCCGCTGTAAATGGGGGATAATTCCACAAAAGAAAATGTAACTTTTTTTTTTTTTCCCCATTCATTTACCTTTCATCTGTTGTAACTTTTGAGAAACTTCATGACAACACTTCCTTTCCAGGCCATTCTGGTCTTCTGCCCATCCCCAAATGCTGCCATGCCGTGCAGGGCACATGGGTGTTAGCCCAGACACCACCTATTTGCCTCTGGGAAACACCGCGTCTGTATCTGGCTGCAGGCCAGGACTGGATTCTGCTTTCGTCACCAATTTCCTCCACGAGCATCAGCCAGTGACTCGTGCTTTGGATGTCTCACTTTACGCAGAGATGTGAAAGGGCAATGATGACACGTTCTTCTTGCTCGTGTGACTCACGTGTGATGAAACCTCTTGGAACAGGGCCCTGCGCTGGGGATGGGGCCCCCAGACTCATCCAGCCCACCCTGAGACCTGCGTGGCCACGGCTGGGAGCTCGGCCTTCCCTCGGTCCCTCCCAGCTCCCAGGGGTGGACTCGCCACCTCAGGGCCTTGCAGGTGGGGACACAAACAGCCTAAAAGACCTGGAGATGTGGCAGCACCTCCAGGCAAAAAGCCAGTCCTGACCCCAGCAGCTGTGCCTAAGCAACAAGAAGCAACTGCTTTGTTCCCTGGACACTCCCCACCCCCTGTCCTCTCCCAGGGAGGATGATTTTTGTCACCCCTCACGCCAGATGAGGGCTATGGACCTGCACAGTGAAAGGATCTTCCCTTCGCCGGCCTCCTGACGGTGCGGCCTTATCAGCGCAGTCCCGCAGCCGTGCTGGGCCATGCAGCACACCCAGGCATAGACACATCAGCATTGCTCAGCACAGGAACGATAAGCCTAATGACAGAGACACCTCACGGGCTAACCACACTGGGATGCGTTTATCACCGTTTCTTGCAGATAAGGACCTGAACCACAAACAAACCTGGTGCATACTGCAAGTCCCGTGTGCGTCCAGCCCTGCGCACGTGGCTCGTTCTGCTTGCGCAGCAACTCCTCGTGGCAGCTTTTTTTTTTTTTTTTTTTCACTTTTTCCTTTTAAAGCATCAGTATTTCTTACAAAGAACATCCCTGAGCATTACACCTAGCAAAGCATCACTGGGCCGTGGAGGTAATTTTCTTTACTGGTTATCCCCCAAGACCAAGTCTTTAGGCCTGAAGAAAAGCCTGTTAAAAAGGCTGGCTTTACACCCTTGGCACCTCGAAATATGGGCTCATGTCAGCTGCAGGGCACACAGCCGGCTGGAGTGCAGAAAATACGCAAACAAACCTCTGACTGCCGTCAGAGCCACACCAGAGGCTCAGCCCCTGCGGCACGTTCCTCTGACACCTCTGCTTGAACAAAGGGGTGCAGGGTGGAGGGAGAAAAGCTCATCCAAGCAGCCTGCCAGCAACAAGCTGCTACCTGGCCTCTCACCCTGCATACGTGAGCAGCACTGGAGGAACCCTCTGCACCCCTGCACCCTTGTTTTGCCTAAGCCCTGCCTCTGGCTGTGTTGTTAACCTGGGATTTCTGCTAAAGCACTAAGGCTGTGTGAAACCCAGCTTGTTTGCTTCTGAACTCAACAATAAGTCCTCATTTCCCAGACTGCTGTTTTGACTGGCCAAATGGACGCTGCTATTTGAACAGTAAGGTGCTTGTTTGAATACAAAAAGTGATTGGCTAAGCTACTGCAGAGTGACGAGCTCAGATCCGATAACCTGGCTTATTTTTAAGTCTCTGCTTTGTTTATTTCAGCTAAACTCTCAGGCTCGTCCAGGAACTGGATGCTGTATCCAGGACACGAGTGGAAGTGCGTCCAGCAGGCTGTGCAAACAAACTGGCCTGAGTTTCCAGCTCCCCGCCCGCAGCCCCTGAGCCTGGCACCCACACAAGAAGCCGGCCAGGAGGAGGTACCCGACCAGCAGGGAGAAAGGGTGATGAGAGAAGCTGAGATCTGAAAGCTAATACAAAGCACTGGGGAGAGAAACATTTTACAAGCACTGGGACTGATGCTGAACTTCATCAGCTTCCCAAACGGCCCAGCTGTTTCAGCACGTGTGGCTGCTTGGAGGAGTTGTTTCCCTTTTCCAAACAGAGTTAACAAGGATGCTGCCAGCTGGCAGGGAGGGAAAGGTCTCCGTGAAGAGACATCCACTCAGCAGCATCCTCCAGAAAGCCATTTGATGTGTGCAGCATGGTCAGCCACCGCATTGCACATGCTTCAGGCACGTCTCACCAGCAGCCACCAAGCGCACACTTTCCCTGAGCTCATAGCCTGCCCCGCAAAGCTGCTTTCAGTGGGTTTGCGTCAGCATTTGGTTGTTCCTTGGTCACGTCCTCATGCTACGTCAGGCTTCGGGGGATGACAGCAGCTCTGCTCCCTGCACGCAGCCTCCACTGTTGGTTTTACTCCTTCTGGAGCAAACTGCTCACACCTCGCAAGGACCAGCCCGTCCCTGTTCCTTCTCTGAACCAGCATCTCACAGCCCAGCCAAGACCAGCATTTGGCAAGGGGCTACACAGAGAAGTTGAAAAAAAGTAGGGTCACTGCTTTAGCGGGTTTGCAAGTGGGACGTAGGGGAAGTAGGGGAGGCACCATGCATGCTCCCTATTTAGAAATCGCAAGCAGAGAAGAAATCACAGTGGCGTTTGCAGAAAAGTTTCATTCCCATAATCACCATGGGCAGAAAACCAAAGCTACCAGGTCCTAGAGAGGCCCAAAAATACAGGGTGGGCTTCAGAGCACTTGATCCCAGTCACAGAAAAGGCAGAAACAGAGGCAGGATGGAGCTGGCACTGTCCAAGCCCCCTTAGCCACAGGACTCTGCAGCCCAACCCCAGCAGCCTCAGAGCTCCAGAGGAAAACCACGCTGACAAGTTTTCTGTGCCTCTCCAGCATGTTGCAGAAGCAAAAGTGTTTTGTAACACAGGTCTTAAATGCTGCCTAGAAGTTAACACAACACTTCCTCTACTGCCAATGGACACATTGCAGCGGAGCTGTTGGAAGGGATTGTGTACAGAGCTTTTGACCAACAGAAATAGAGATGAATACAAATTGGGAAGAAAAAAAAATGCCAACACTTCTATACTCTTATGAAAGGATAAGAACAATAATTATGTATGGTAGACAAGGGAAAATATGAGCTGGTTGGGCTTATTTCTGTGAACAGCAATAGAAATGAGCTTGAACACACTGTGGAAGTAGATGAGGACGTAATTCTTAATAGGTATGTATTTAATAATCCAAAGGCTGCAAGGAGATGATTAATTGCCTTTATACAGCATGCCTCAGTAAGATTTGTGCCAAGGAGGAAACAGCATTTTCCTGGGATCGATGCAACTTCACCAGTAATGTTAAAATAAATAAATAGATAAGAATGTGATCAGTAACTTTTTGAGCCCTCTCTTTTGAGAAAACCTGTACAGCCCAAGCCACGTCAGCCGCTTTAACCCCCTGGTGCTGCTCCTGCCCTGCCCCTTGCTAACACTGGGAGCGGGACCGGGGCTCGCAGCCAATGTCTCGCACAGCCGCACAAGCACAAGTGGAGAGGTGCTGTGGCTTTTATCCCTCCGTTTTCCTCCACTGGCAGGGCTTTGGCCAAGCAAAACAAACAGCAACACATACCCAGAAAAACAGCCAGGCTAATCGGACACAAAGGAAAGGGAGAACTGAGGCAGCTTGCTTTGGGAAGCGCAGAGAAAGCAGAGCCCGGAGCAGAGCCAGGCATCTTCTGCCCTTCCCCACTGACCCCACCACTGTGCCCCTTCAGGAACTCTCCCGTGGATTTTGTCACATCCTCTGCTCCCAGCTCTTGTCACACTAAAGGGGACAGCGAGGGAAGGCAACAGGGCTGGCCCCAGCGGGTGCCTCATGGCAGCGGGTGCCGGAGCTGAGCGCGGCAGGCACCAAGGCCCCAGGCTACCTGCTGTGCACTGATCCTGCTCCAACTTGTGCAGGGAGCAGCGGAAGGATGTCTGCAGCCCATGCCAGGTGTCAGAGCCTTCTGGCATTTCATCACCTGCTGGAAAACACCAGGAGACGTCACCAGTCCCTTCCACGACTCCTGAAGCTCTTTTAGACCTGACCCCCCCTCCCTCCTTTCCTGTCCAGGGGAAGCTGATTCTGGGGAAATCATCTTTGAAATGGGAATTAGTGGGGAGGAAAGGCTGGGCTAAAGGCTTCGCTTTGGACATTGAGGAGGCTGGATGCACATACAGCAAGAGGAATTATCCCCTGGTGACAAGAAAAAGACTCAATAGTTATCAATCCATTTTTCCTAGGAACTCTTTAAAACAGGACACTGGGAATGGACCTCAGGATCGAAGTGCTGTGCCCTGAAAAAGCTACTTTTCCTGCCATGTGGCATGGAGAGCAGCAGGAGGCTTGAGCTGGCTCACACACCAACAGTTTAAGCTCAGCAGCTGCTCCTCGTGGATCTGCAGCACAGCACCGTGCTGCCTGCTCTTGTAACCAAGCATGATGTGTGCATGCCTTGGGCCCCCCTACTCCCGATTTCCAACCCTGGCTCAGATAAGCAGAGCACAACACTCGCTCACCGTGCTTCTCCCATGTAGCAACAAGAGGCTGTGTTTTCTCAGGCACTGGGGCCAACCTCAAACCATAAATCTCCAGCCGAGAGCAGCACCACCACAAGCCCTTTTGATCACCCCCTTAAGACCCATCATCACCTCCACGCACAGCACCGTGCTCGGACACCATCTGCAAAGGGGCAAGTGACAGCGGCAAGCGTCAGGTCTCATCCCCGTCAGTGCTCATCGGGGGTCCATCAGAAATCTCTGCAAAGCTTCCAAGTTCTTTAGTTCTTTGGGGAATTCTCAGCACTTCCTGATTCCAGTCAGGCAATGCTTCTTACGGGAAGCAGCCTGATGATTTTGGGCACCACGGGATCCCTGGAGTCCCTCTGTGCTGGGGCCTGTGCCCACTTGGCACCGGGAGCCACCTCCTGCTGTCACGTCCCCTGGGGAAAGGGCTGCTGATGTAGCCAACCTGATTTAGAAACTGCTTTAATCAGCACAATCACTTTGTGCTGGGTCCTGTGAGTCACTTGGATGCCACTGTCCATAGAGGGGTCATCGAGGCCCTTGCCTGGGATTTTCAAAACCTCGCAGCCCGCAGCACCAGTCCCACTGGAGGTCTGTGAGGGGTTCTGAAAATCCATCTCGCCACCTGATCTGGGCTCTCTGTGTCACAGTTTTGGCTGGCTTTGCTCTTGGCAGAAATATCAAATTTGGCCTCTAACACGCACAGAAAACTTGCACCCGCACTTACAGTGCTGTAAATTCAGGCTAAATGTATTAAAGTTAAGGGAGGTGATCTTGGAGACTTAAAGCTGTCATGGGGAAAAGTCGCATCAGGCCTGTGGAGTCAACAGCCTGGCCTGCTGCCACCCTGGGCTCATTTGTAAAGTAGCCCAGAGGGATTTTTTTATGAATGTCCCATTAATGTTAACAGCTAAATCCCTGCCCTGCTCTAAAAACCTCACTCCTGTCTATGTTAGACGCAACATCTTCCTTTAATTTGCTCCCAGAGCTCACCAGCCATATCTTCTGATCATCTTGAAAACCATCCAGCTCCAATCCCCTGCCGTGGGCAGGGACACCTTCTACCAGGATGTGTCACGCAATCACCCCTTTAAGCATAAATTGTTGGCATGTTGGAGGAATCTTAAGAAAAAGGCAGTTTTGCAGATGTCTCGTTCATTTTTCAGGGTCCCTCAGCCCTCCACTTAATGCCCTATCAGTGGCTACAGGAGAGGACTGGAAACAGCAGGTTAGTGACGATATTTCTCTGGCTTTATCTGAGAGCCTCCTGTTAAGCTCAGCTCAGGAAAAAAGCTCTGCCTGTCCAGAACTCGCAGGCATATTTAGGACCACCTGAACCCCTTTGCAATGTGCTGTTTGCAGCCCAGTTAATGCTCGTCCCCCCTGTGCCCTAAGGGCCAGACCTGGGCAACAAAATAACCCAGGAGCTCAAAATGCTCAGAGCACAGCCACTCATCCATGCTGTCACTGATAGCTCCTGATGCAACTTTCACATTATTTCAGCCTGAAAAGGAAAAAATAAAAAAATCTGTGGTCCAACCACATAACAACATGCAGCGTTATCAGGGGAGATACTTCCCTTTCCTTGCTGCTGTGGTCTCTCTCTTGTTACTGGAAGCCCTGCTGTGCCTTACGAGCCACAGCTCATCACTGACAACAAATCTGGGTTACACCAAAACCGAGTCAGAATACTTGGAGGCATGAGCCAAGTGTCCTCAGCTCGCTTGGCTGACCTACGGGGCTGCAGCATGACTTAACCGCGGATGGGATTCCTTCCTAATAAATGCACCACAGGCAGCCTATTGCACACAGCGCGGCGGCAGCCAAGAACTGAGGAGGAATACTTTCTGCGTGAGTATTTAAGGAATCCTGATACTACTTTTGGTTTCAGTCGAAAACTATTTCCTCTCTTGAAGTCAGGAGTTCTCACTCGTGGCTGTGCGTGAAACCGGATGCCGGCAGGGAGGGAAGAGCAGCGTTTGCATCACTGCGCTCCAGGCAGCGCTGCCACCCGGGTGGTGAAGGGTCAGGGACTCCATCTCTTGCCCACCTTGTGCTAAATCCCTGCTTGCAGCGTGGCTGCCGATGCCCAAGCAGAGCGAAAAGCACAACCCCAGCTCTTAATGAGAACGCATATTCATATTTGTAAGCCACTTCAGGTCATGAACTGTCAGCTTTGGTTCATATCAAGAATGTGCTGAGAATCTGAAACTGGAAAGTAATCAAAGAGAAGCAGAAGAGTGGGCAGCTAGTAAAAGACTAATAACGGCACAGCAGCAACCCTCCTCCTGCAGAAAAACGGAAAGTGTTGTGAAGAACCGGCACAGCTGCAGCAAGAAGTCTTTCAGAAAGCCAGAATGAGTGACACAGCTCCCGGGAAGGGGGACACGGCTGAACGTTGCACAGGACAGCAGCACACGTATTAGTCACAAACTCAAATGCTGAGCTGTAGCAGATATAGAAAGGAAGGGTTAGGAGGAACAGCAAAAAAAAGTTTTCTGCATTCAGCAGAACTAAGAGAAGAAAGGGAGGCCTGCAGGGGTGTTAGTGTGGGGTTACTTTAGAGCTGCCCTACACCAGAGCAGGCTCAAGACAACACATTCAAGTGCTCACAGCTCTGACTTGCATATGATCGCTTATTTATGTGTGTCCACAGAAGACACAGGGAGCGAGGAGCCTTATCCCATGCTCCATGGGCAAATTATCACAAAATGCTGTTCTGCTGGAGGTTGCAGCAATTGCTAGAAACACCCAGCAAAGAACGGTAACTGGAGCAGGGCCAGGTGATGGCTCCCCTGCCCCTGCGATGAGCAGCAAGCAGCAGGAGATGCCACACACCCGAGGGACATCCTGTGCTGGCGCTGCTGCCTCTGCTTGCTCCAAGTGGCTGGGGACGAGCCCGGCCAGGCTGACATCCCTGCTGCTGTGTGAGGTGCTCCACAACCAGTACCACCACCGTCCTGGAGCACCTGCAGCCCTCACCTCCTGGAACCCTCCCCACCACGGCTGGGCACCTTCCACATCACAGACACGGATTTCTGTGTCCCTCTTCCCTCTCAGCAAGGATGTCACCCTGCCATGGACCAGGAAAGGAGCAGCCAAACAATTATCAGGGTTGTGCCATGCAAGATCTGTGGTCACCTTCTCTGCTTCACTTGCAGGTGCCAGGACCAGTTCTGCAGAAACCTGATGTGTTTTTTTTGTGTCCCCCAATTCCCCCCTTTTTTTTTTAAATATGTAGGTTTGTTGGTTTTTTTTTGTTTGTTGTTTTTGTTTTTTGCAATTGCTCTATCCATGCTGGAGTGAAAGAGCTCAGCGGGGCCGGTGACCCTGGCCTGCCTGCAGAATCAAGCACTGTGCTGTGACAAAGAGGTCACTGAGGTTCCAAGAGCCTGTCCCACCTGAGGAATGTTTGATTCAACAGGAATTCCCCACCATTGATGCCAAGAACGTAGCATGTGGAAAAACACTTCGCCAACTTTGGCTCCAAAAATAGTTCCCGTCTCGTTATCCGTAGAGGCCAACAACTGCTATCTCAAAGAGCCTCTCTGACACACCGAGCTGGCCAGAGCTGGCTCTGACACACCGAGACCACGCTGGCCCCTCATGGTAACTGGAGCAGGGCCAGGTGATGGCTCCCCTGCCCCTGCGATGAGCAGCAAGCAGCAGGAGATGCCATGCACCCGAGGGACATCCTGTGCTGGCACTGCTGCCTCTGCTTGCTCCAAGTGGGAAGGAAAGCTTTGTTTGGAGAAGCTGACATTTCGCTTACGTTTCCATTCCTCATGACGACAGTGAGGTTTTTCTGACATGGTGCATGCTGTACCCCTGGCTGTTGTTCAGGGCTGAAATAAACAGCAGCAGCCCCGTGCTTGCAGAAGCCTTGCCTCCTCGCTGCTGCACGGTGCCCGGCTGGCTTGCTGCAACCCCAGCCCAGGAGCTGAGCACCACCCCCCTACAAAAAGGACCAGAGCCCTAAATCCCACTTATCCAGCTTATTTCCTCCAAAGCACACAGGTGTTCATAGAAAGGGGCGGCTAACTGAGCTGCTCCACTTGTTCTGGGAGAAGTGCAGGCATAGCAGCACTGGGGGTAAAACCCACCACTAAACTTGGGAAAATAGCAGACATTTAGCCCGTGATAGTAAGGGCGCAGTGCTCCTTGTCCAACTCACTCCTTCTAGCTAGAGATGTCTCCAGGTGTGCCAGCACAGCCGACAGGGCTGCACAGCAGCGATGCCACGCTTCCAGCTGGAGATGCCATCCCTTGGATGGCTGCTTTGACATCAACCTGCTGCGGGCACGGGCAATGACAGAGGTTCTGAGGGATGGAGGGGTGCCTGCAGCCTGTGGATTAGTGCCAGGGATGTTTCTCAGAGGTGTTCGCACTTCTTGAGAAGAAAAGAGGAGAGAAGGAGGAATCTTTTCTTCAGAAACGCTCAGGTCTCACGTCAGCACTCGTAGCTGCCTTGTATTTCCCAAGAGCTCAGAGGCTGGGTGCCGAATTGTACAGCAAGCATTGCAGTTTGTGTTGGGATACTCAAGGCAAAGTGCTAAGCCCTTATGACTATAATTTGCTGCTTACAAAGGGGTTGAGCTGTTCTGAAAGCCCAGCCCAGATTATAGGTGTCAAATGCTTGAAAATCTGTCCCAGAGCTCTTAATCCCGTTTCTGGGCTCTTCATGAATGAAGCCAAGCCATTCTCAGAAGGAAAACTTGGCAAAAGCAGCCCTCCTACACTGTATGAGTAGAAACTGCACTCACAGCTGATACCAGCAGATGCCAGCTGATACCAGCAGAGCAATTAAAGCCTGTGGCAGCCTCCCTCTGCTCGGGAGGAGTGGTGATAAGGGGGCAGCAGCCAGACACAACAGGTCCCACACCGAGACACGCTTCCCAGGCTGCTCACACCTGGGTGGGAGCTGACTGCTCCCTGGCTCCACTTGAACTAAGCCTGCACGTGCCACGGAGCACGTTCCACGGCTGTCCCGAAAGCCGCAGGTCGTGCATGGGCAGGATCAGCGTGCACAAACACCTTCACCTCTGCAGAACGGGGAGCTCAGCCCTCCTCTCCCAGCAGCAGGATGTTAGCACACTGCTAGCGAGGCTGCTCAATAGGGTTGGTCTTCCCCTGGTTGTACTTGCAAGAACAATACTGGCCTGCGTGTAGCTTGCTTTTTTATTTTCTTTTTTTTTAATAGTGTCTTCTAACAGCCCTCTTTCAACAGCATACATACTGCCCATCCAAAATAAAGTCTGTTCAGCTGCTGACCCAAAAGACTTCCCCTGCATGGCTAATCCCCAAAGTCCTTTGCTCATCTCTGAAGGCCAGGCTGTATGCTCCTGACTGGCCTACCCCAGTAAATTATTGGAAAAACAGCAGGCATTTAGCCCATGCTTTTATGACCACACTGCTGCTTGTAACAATGAGTTTCCTTCATGCTAGGGATATCTTCAGGTCTATCTGCAAGGGAAAATTATTTTCTCATATATTATCTATGCTTAAATTTGACAAAGAGTCTGGCCAATGATGCATGAGCTGGAGGAGGATTGAGCTGTTATAGTCTTAGCCGTGTTGCTCAGTAAAACTGGTTGAAGTGGCTAAGAGCTAAGATGGATCTTTGCCATGAACAATCAACTTATCTGATTTACTGCTTGGAGAGCAGCAGATGAACTGATTAGAAACATGCTGCACTTGTGGCGTCTCACACATCAGTAAGTGAAATATGAAGTGACAGAAGGGCCTGAGAAGTGTTTGCCACAGGTAGACACAGCGAGTGCTGCACCAGAGGACTGATGTGAGTGTACGGGCACAGTGCTGGGAGCACGCAGGGAGCTGCCAAGTTCTCCCAGCCCAGGAGACCTCAGCAGCACCAGGTGTGCAGAGGCGTGCGCTGCAGGACAACCTCTGCTCCAAGGCCACCGCCTTTTCTCTTTAGCTTAGCACCATCTAGAGGGATGCCTCTGCAAAGCCGAGGTGCCGGGACGCACCAGCTGATGGCACACGTTGGGCAAATAACGCCCGTCTGACCACGCTGCTTTGGGGGCAGGAGAAACAGCTGGAAAGCAAAGCAACAGAAGAGCAGCTCCCTCCTCCAGCTGTCCTTCCCGTCGGGACAAACACGGGGCCATGCTGCAGCCATCCCCCTCATCCTGGGGAGCTCTTCTGTGAATGGGCAAATGTCCTCCAGAGAGGGGTGGAGGCTGTGGGTTTGGGGCAGGATTTGGGGGGGGTTGGCAGGAGGAGGATGCTGGGGGTTATTTTTTTCCCCCTTTTTTGACTTTACTTTTTAATTATAAACCACCTACAGATCTTGCATCACCTATTCCTACAGGCTGCAACTAATCCGGTGACGCAACAGGAGCCTTCTAGGCTTGAGAGCCGGCATCTTCCCTCCTGTCCATTCAAGCCCTCTTCTTTCTTCTTTTTCACAAGCACTGCACAGGAGCACATTGGGATGCCTGCTGAGGTCTCTGTGCAGAATTTCAGTTTGCAGCCCCGTGCATCAGAGCTTACTGAAAACTCCTGGCATGAAACACCGGAACCAGACCAAAGGCGAGGTGCAGTGACGTTATCTCCTGTCTATCTCACACCATGATCTTGCACTTTCTTCTGCAGCAGCCCAGGCTGCCGGCTTGCAGCACCTTGACACGCAATACCTGCTCGTCATCAGCCCCATCTCTGACCTTATACAATCCCAAGGCAAAGTCATCGAGATCAAAGTCCAGCCAGCCTGATGCTATGAGGAGTGGTTAGTGGGAGATAGGAAGCACATTGCCCTGCTCAAAGGGCAAAGCACAGCCTAACAGAACTCACCTGACTTTTGGATTAAGGAAAAAAGTACCAAGAAAGACTAACAGCAAGGTTTGGCTAAGGATGCACAAAACTTGTGTCCCTTTATTACCTGGCTGCAGTGACCCTGGGGACACAGATTACCGCCCTTCCTCCTTGGCAGTGCTTAGGAGGTGTTTGGATGTGGGAAGGATCCCAGAGACACCAAGACCAAGCTGCTGCCTGTGTCTAGTCTGCTAGGAATCGCCCTCACCTTCCCTGTGTACAGCGGGGCATGTGCAATGGGGCTTGGGGAGGAAGGACACTCACATGCCAAGAAGTGCCTGCAGTGCTCAGACAGCAGCAGGAAAAAAATGTCCCTTAACCAGATGATCTTTGCAGCCCCTTCCAACCCGAACCTTCCTTTGCTGCTGCTCCGTACAACCCAAGCACACACTGCAGCAATCCTCCGTGGCTCAGCTGGGAGGCTGAAGTACAGGACTGACTTCTCCTGCCTCCAACCCATCTCTGCCAGCCCCCAAGCACCAGCAGCTGCTCCTCCTGCCGGCACCAAGCCCGGACCGCTCAGCCGATGCTCCCAGAGCTTCCTGCTCCCCTGCCCACGCCCTGCTGCACCCACAGGAGCGCGTCACAGAGCAACAGCCCCATTGCCAGCCCGGCAGCAGGAGGAAGGAGGAAGCCGGGCTGCAGAGACACAAAATCACGGCAGAACTGGCTGCGAGAGCACCAGACAGGCTGGCTGGGAAGGACGGCTCTGCTGAGCCCGGGAGAAAATGGTTTGAGTAATTATTAACGGTAAGGAAACCTTTCATTTGAGGCGAGAGGGCTTAAGAGGGATTTCTGCATGGTAATACTCTGCATACTTGGTGCTTATGGGAGGAGAAAGGCTGGTGATTGAGTGGTTTGAAGCACAGCCCGAATGCAAGCAATTCCTTTCCAGCCTGTTGGGTCCACTCCCCCCATTTCCAATCTTACTTTTGGCTGTGACCCACCAGGGGCACACACAGCCCCTAGCAGATTCTCCTGTCTCTCTCAGCTGTGGGCTGTCTTGGGGGGGCTTTCAGCATAACCTGAGCTTCACATTGCTGCAGTTTGCTGACAGTTTTCCCCCCCTCCCCAGCCTGCCGCTATGTGGCCAGGAAGATGGGGACCCTGTGCTGCCAGCAGCCCCAGGAGCCACCACCCAGCCCGGAGCAGGCAGCCCCACGGAGAGGCCACCAAAGTAAGTTATTTCGGGGTTAAAAGCTGGGGTGTGTGGCCACGTCCTGATGGAGCACAGTTGTCCCAGAGCAACATCTCTCTGGGGGCAATCTTTGTGGCCTCGAATCACCAGCCACCAAAACACACGAGCTGGCAGCCAGAGCTGCCCTTCCATACTGCCAGCCTTCCCCAGCCCCTTCCTGGCCCATTTCAGCCCCCAAAATCCCAGTGGATCGGCAGATCACTCACACAATGCCCCACAAGCAGCCACACACCCCCCAGCTGCCCCTGATCCACCACCGGGGGCTGCTCCCACATCACCCAGCCACACTGCTCTGGAGTTAAAGCTCACATCGAAAATGAAATGCTCCCTGAACAGCAGACAGAAGAACCTCAGAGCTCACCAGCACCATTTCAGTGGTCCAGCCGAATCATGCCCAGGTCTCCCTCGGGCAAACAAGCCCAGAGCTGCACCCAGGGGTGACCACCAGGAGCTGAGGCCTGCAGGAGGCTGGGCTCTTCCCCTTGCTGCTCCCACACTGCTGCCTGGGGGGCTATAAACCCTCCAGATATCACCTTGCAGTACCACAACATGCAGATCCTTAAGGGAGGAGGAGGGACGTCTCTCACCACTAATGCTTTAATTAAGTGCAAATGAAGGAAAAGCACGACATCAGCCATCTGGCCTGCAGTGGGGACCAGAGCAGGGCAGGTGCTTGGGTGTGTTAGTAAGAGGAATCAAACTCCTCCTCTGAGCGTGGTTAAGCTCGTTCCCTGCTGTTAATTGCTGGGTGTTTGTTGCAATCAGGGGAGCTGTGCCAATTAGCACTAACAGAGGGCCCACAGCATCCCCCCACCAGGTGCTGTGGATGAGGGAGGCTGCGTCCCTCCCTGGGGACACCACGTCCCTCCCTGGGGACACCATATCCCTGAGGACACAGCTTACACAGGGGAGCTGCTCGGTCAGGGCTTGGCTCAGCTCCATCCCCTGGGGCAAGGCCCTTGCTGGGAAATGTTGAAGGCAGAGCACTGCCATTCAGCGGGGTGATGTTTTTGTGGTGCCTCCATGCTGACCGAAGCTGTGGGCTCCCCAAGTACCGTGAGCAGTGCCTCCAGTTGGCTCTGTGCCACCAGCACAAGCCGTGTGCTTGGTCTGTGCCTCCCGAGCAAGGAGCTCTGCCGTGTCCCAGAGCTGCCAGGATACAGCAAGGAGCTCACAGATCCCACCAGCTCCTGGTGGGACACAGGGATGATGCAGGGGACGAGCAGTGTCCAGGACACAGCGTGGAAGCTGCTGAGCTTCGTCCTGGGGCCCTGCTGGAGAGCTCTGTGCTAAAATGTGGCCTGGCTCCCTGCACTAACCTAGCATGGGTCAGGGCTGCCACCAGCAGGTTTTCCAAGCAGCAGTTCACATCCCAGCCATGTCCCTTTGGGAATTATTTTTGTCCATGGCTAATCCTGACTCCCCTCTCCTTTACTCTGATGCTTGTGCATTTGCAGATGTAAACGCGGTGGTATCAGCACCCCCCCAAGCCACAGCCTCACTTTCCACGAACAAGGACGTGGCCCAAGACCAGCCCTGCAGGTCCTGAGGGTAATGGCCCTCGTGGTCCTCTCTTGAAGGCCACGAGCTGCCTCCCCACCCACCTCCTGGAATCTGTGTGCTGGGAATCCTGCAGCCCTGGGATTGGGAAAAATCAGAAAATCCCTCCTGTACCTGCTCTCGGCACAGAAGCACAATGACAGAGAACATCCCCATCGGTCTCCCTACCAGAAATTTCCAGATGGCAGAAAAGACCATCATGTACCAGGTGCTCCCGGCACTTCTGGGCCCTGGGAAAGAGCACGAGCCATTGCATTCCAGCAGCAAATCAGATTTTTATGCTGTGAAACCAAGCTGTGCTCCCAATGACATCGCTCTACCTTCAGACCACTTCTAAGAAGGTAAAATCAGCTCAGGAGCTGGAATGTGGAGTCCAAGAGCCTGGCCCTGTGGAAATCCCATGATGTTTTGAACACACCCCCTGTGCCCAACAAGCCGGTGACCCAGCACGATGAGCAGCACATGCAGAGCAGAGGGGCTGCAGAGACCACCGCCACATCCCCCCCCACCAGCAAACCCCGCGCTGTCACAGAGCAATGAAGGCAGAATTGCAAAGCCCACCCCTGTGGGGGCGATTCTGCCTGACCCCTTCCTGTGACAGCCCCAGCTGAGCCAGAAATAAAGATGGATGGAAGGAGGCTGACAGGGAGTGCGGTGGCTTTTTCTCCTGGAGGGGGTTTGTTGTTGTTATGGTGTTTGCACAGAGCCTGGGGTTGCAGTGGGGGTGTGATGCTGAGGCTCCCAGGGAAGATGTGCCTTATCTTTCCATTGCTCCTGATGGAGCGATGTGGGACCAGGAGGAGGGAGCGGAGTCATCCCACACCTCAGGGCAGAGCTGGCACCTGGCTCCAGGTCCCCAGCCCCCTGCCTCTTGCTGCCACCGTAGCCCATGGCTCGGCCTTCAGTGCTATAGAATTCCCTGCTACGGTGCCACACGAGGAGATGATGGCATGGTGGGGTGGCTGTGACTGAGGGACGTGCACGCCTCATTCCCCTGATTTTAAAGCCTTTCCTCACTTTGTGTGCACCAGGAGCACCACATGGAGCTGTGCTCCAGTGCTGCAGGAGATGGGATGGGGGGCACCGTGCCTGCCTGGCTGCAATAAGGCTGGAAACCACAGCCCTAAGGACCTTTTATTCTGATCAGTGCCACGTCCCAGGACCATGCTATGGTCCAAGCTGTGTGGTGAGGTGGCCAGGTGCACACAGTCACAAGAAGCTCTGGGGACAGAAGACGCCAGCAACCCTGGCCCATACAGCTCTGCGTTCATGGGCTCACCTAAGCACACAGCCCCTTGCAGGCTTACAGCCCCTCATTTCATTCCCCATTCCCTCCCATACTCCACGTGCTGGGGTCTCCTGCTCACCACTGCCTCCTCTCACACGCTGTGTGAAAGCACAGTGGGGGAAAATGAGGAAAGGAAAACCAAAAGGACTCAACCTGGCCCAAAGTGCAGCAGAAAAGGGAGTCTAACAAGAGCCATGCCCCAGGCTGCCCTACAGCGGGCCTTTTTTAAGGCCTAATTCCATGGATTGTCAAACGTCCAGCACCTCATCCCTGAGGAGCTTGCAGAGGTGGCAGTCACTGGGCACTGCCCCAAGCTGGCCCCTGAATGGCAACTTGGACGAGGTCTCAGCCACCAACTTGGCAGCGCCTGGCACAGGACAGAGCTCCCTGTCACCAACAATTCATGCCACAATCCAAATCTGGAGCAGACGCCACATTTGTAATGCACAGGTATTCCCTGTCCTTCTTCCAAAGAGCCCATGAACTGCACCACTCCAGTGTGGGGCTGCCGTCTCCAGCTGTTCCCTGCTGCTCTCCCAGACCCCTGGGTCACAGCAGGGGCCACCCAAGGGTGCTTTGAGCTGCTGCACGATCGTTCCTGGCACCCAAAGCAGCTCCTCCAGGCAGAGCTTGGGGCCAGGCCAGCAGGGTTCAAAGGCAGCAGCTTTCTGATTGCATGTTTATTAGAGTTCCACTCGTTCACCCCAATAAGTCCAGGATGGGGCTTACAGCCCTCTCCTCTGCTTCTCCTCACTGCTGTGTGCGGGCAGCCTGTGTTTTGGCTTCCTGCAGCCCCCAGGGGTCACCTGCCCGGGAGGCAGCACTGCTGCGTGCTGAGCGCGGCGCTCTGGATGAACTGGCACAGGCAGGGCACGCTGCTGGGCTCCACGTGCCCGGCTGCTGTGGTCGGGGGGAGCCGGCCGCTGACCAGGAGCCGGACATAGCAGCCGCTGAAGATGACCAGGAGCTGCTGGGCCATCACCTGGAACGAGGAGGAGAGGCGTCAGTGTCTACCTGCGTCAGTGTCTACCTGCGTGGTGAGCACACGCAACATTGAACACCATTTGTGCCCTCGTTCAAACACCGTCCTTGTCCGAAAGAAGCAGGGCAGGAGCCAATGACAGATACGTAACTGCCCCAGATCCCCTTCTGGTCAGCAGTGCTGGCACGCTGTCCCCAAGGGACAGTGACGTGAAACGAGCCGCTGCCAACCACCTGGCCCTGCACCACGCTCGGTGCCAGCAGCGAGGCCAGCCCAGGGGCAGGGGGCTGCAGGGGTGGGGTGGTCAGGGCACCAGGCTGCTCAGGGACCCTCCTGCTCTGTCACCAACTCCTGTTGATTTTTTTTTTTTTTTTTTTTTTTTGGCCTGTAGACAGCTGGAAAGCTTCAACCTGCAGGGATGTCACCTGCACCAAATCCACTTAGTAACAGCGAGCAGAAAACTGCAAAATAAATCAAAATCATCTCTTTTGAAGCTTCTTGCTGAGCGGGAATGAGGACACATTTGTCACTCAGCAGGGCACAAGTCTTTGAGGGCACAGACTGTGGAGATGATGAAGGCTCAGCATGACCAGGCCCAGCCCCAGCCCGGACACGGGCACCAGGTCCCTGCGCAGACCCCAGGGAGAGGTCAGCTTCCAAATGGGGACCAGGAGGAAATGCCTGGCCTATAAAAGAGACAGCATCAAGGCCTTAAACATTGACCACCCAGCACTGCCAGCCCTGGAGGAGGTGTGGGTGGACCTCCAGGTCTGCAGGCATTTCTACCAGGGCAAAAGGAGGTGTCCCCTGGGACGAGGTTTGGAGGCAAGGTGCCCAGGGAGGCGTTCAGCCCATCGAGGAGGGATATTTCTCCTTACCTCTGGTGGGCCCTCGGGAATGAGGCGGAGTAGCTGGTTGCACATCACGGGCTCCTTCTTGAAGTTCACCCCATTGGATAGGAGAGGGGACTCCTCGCACGAAGCCTCCTCCGCTGCCGGCTCGGGCTGAACCGCCGCCTCCATCACCACGCAGAGCTGGTCCAGGCTGTGCCGCAAGCCCGACTGGGGGAGAGGGAGAGTTTGGGGCAGCAGCAGTGTCCTCAGGACACCACTCAAAGCACCTCATTTGTATCAAAACTATCCTCCCAGGAGTTAAAAAATAACAATAAAAAAAAAAACATACAGGATTGGCTAAGAGAAGTTGCCAGCACTGGGGGCAGAGAGCCTTCATCCCACAAGGAAAGGTTGGACAACAGCCCCTATGTGCAGTGGTTCATTATGGTCAGCCCTCAGCCCGTGCCTGTCGGTTCATCCAGGGAGGTGAGTGGCCGTGGGATCTGGGGGTTTGCACCCCCTCACCTCCCATCCCATGGCTGTTGCCAGCCAGCAGTGTGTAGATATCCATGCAGCCACAAGGAGGAAGAGACTTTGAGGGACAAGAGGACAAAAGCCCCATACAGCTAGTCCAGTGCAGTGTTTAGTTACTCCTCAGGCTATCCCATTTGTTTCAGGAGGACAGCTCAAGGTGTCAGCTAGTTCCAACAGTGACACATGCCGTCAGAATTCACCCCTGACTCCTGGCAACTCCTTTAACAAAAGTCACAGTTAATTATCCAGCCTTGCACAGCTACGCTAAATAAATTCCTACTGACCTGGGCACCCGCAGATGAAGTTTGTCCCCCTCCCAGTTCACCCAGCTCCCAGTATACAGCAGGGGACGCTCAGAGGGCAACTCCAACATGTGCTGCTCATCACCCACCTCCACCCCACCAAAGCAGGGCCCTAGGGGTGGCCACGTGTTTGTCCCTGCAGGCTGTGCCCACTGTCCCTTACCTCCCGTGTCTGCCGCAGCTCCTCGAGGTGGGCTGACAAGGACTGGAGGCAGCGCTCGGGGCTGAAGTGCACAAACCACAGCTGGGACGGGGGGGTTAAGGAAGGGACCTCTCCACAATGTCCTCCCCGGAGCCCTCACAGAGGGGGCTGGTGCCCAGGGACTGCTCGGGACGCGGTCAGCAGCCAACTGCTGTGTCTCAGCACTGATTCTAAGCCTGGTCTGGGCTAAGGCAAAACCTCCAGGACTGGCAAATGGGCAGCAGAGCAATGGCAGGGAAGGGGGATGTTTCCCCTCATCCCAGACCTCCTTGCATACCTTCTGCACCATGGCAGGGACACTTGGGGTGACCCCCGGCCACTGCTCGTCACTCAGCTCAGTGGCATCATGTCTGAACAAGCCAGTGGGTCAGGTGAATTAGCCCCCCTAAACTCCTTCCTGCTTCCCTCTCTTTCTGGGGACCCGTTCCATTTATTTGTACGAGATTTGCTGTGCTCACTGTATGATGGAGGCACTGCTTGCTGAGAGTTTGCCATGGGGATACAAATCCTGCTTCAAGAGCAGCAGCCCCCCGAAGGCAGCCTTGTGCTGTCAGCCAAGGGACTCAAGCCCAGCGAGGAAGCCAGAGGGCCGACACAGACCTGGCACACAGCAGGCAGAGGAAGCCTAAACCCGTGGGTCCTTTCTGCTCTCAGGCAGTTCTGGGACATGTGAAGGCTGCGATAGTCCTCACTCACTCAGGTGTGAAACTAAGCTGGGCTGAACGAACATGTAATTCAGGTTCTTCAGCACTTCCTCATGCTGCACGACCTCACAGCTGCCACTGCTGCTCCTGTGCTCCTCGCTGCTCCTCTCTCTGACCCCATGCTTTGCCTCGTTCCCTCTCCATTTGTATTTCATGCTTCTCAGTACCTTGGGGGTGGTGCGAGATCCACCAGTGAATGTGGGACAGCATCTCCCACACCTTCCTTTTACACCTTCATGCTGCCTTAAAACACACTTCTTTCCTCTAAACCTTTGTCTGGTCCAGAGAAGGCATCCAAAGAGCAGCAAAAGAAGCTCTCCCACCCCTGGCTTCTTCAACCTGCACTTCTGTAAGGTGATGATCAGAAGTGCCTGGCAGCTGGAGACCTGGCTGCCAGGTGCTCACTGCATGAATTAGATTCTCTCATGCCTGAAGGAGGGAGCCTGGGGCTACAAATGACTCCTGAGAGCAGAGACACTTGGATGCTGCTGGCTGAGCTCCTCTCTGCAAGGCACAGCACGAGCTCCCAGGGAGGGGATTTCTCTGTTGTGTTGTTTTGCCATAGGCACATTGCTGGCACTCTGCTGTTAGTAAGAATCATCATTGTCATGTAAACACAGTACACTTGCAGGAATAATTGTCTGCCCCAAGGACTAATTTCACTTCCCTGTTTTAAACTCTTTATTTCCAGTAGCCTTTGGGTATATCTCAATCCATACAGACAGGAGAAGAAAAATTCCCCATTTCCCATGCCATCCAATAGGAGGAAAAAAAAAATCCTAGAAATGCCACCCTCTGGAAATCCTCCCTGATCACCAGCATCAATAAATACCCTCCCCATCATTAGCTACCCAGCAGGAATATGAGCGATCCACCACAGAAAGGATACTTGTAGGATGCTGTGTGGCCCGTCCAGGACATCTGTAATCCCCAGAATTAAACTGTGTTTGATAAAGAATTCATTGACAGCGGCCAGCCTCACATCTGTATTCATATTTATCTATTAAAGAACACAGAAAAAATTAACATGCTCTGTGACAAAACCTGGGCCAGCCTACAGCTGCAGATGATCCTGCAGGCTGCTGGATGACCCCAAACACCGTGTCTCTGAAGGGAAGGCAGTGACAGAGCTGTAGCCAGGGCAGGGCATCAGCCATCAGCATGGCCTTGCCACCCCTAGATGATGTCTGTGCAGCCAGAGACCTCACTATGTGTGTGTTATGGGCAAGATGTGTGAAGTGGATGGGCTCCCAGCATTGTGTCCTCTCTCCCTTCCCCCAGCTACTCCTAAGTGAAGGACAACTCCTCGGGTTAGGAGCTGCCTTTTTGTGCTGCACCTGGGGCAAGGTGGGTGCAGAAGCAGGGCAGGAGAGGAGCCTGCTCTGCTGGTGCTCGCACGGGGCTCCCCACCAGCCGGGGGAGCACAAATCATGCAATGGTTGCTTTTTCTCCTGCAACAGCAGGCACTTCGAGCCAGCTTTCACCTACTTTGTAGGCGTTACGACACCTAACTCTATAATACCCTTGCCTGAACCAGATCTCTGCGCCTGCTCTAAAAATACTCCTACCACCCCCGATAGCCATGTTCTCCATCTGCATCTAGGAGGTGAGCCAGGTCCCAGCACGCTGGTGGGAGGGAACCCTGCTCCCCGCGCTGTGTCCACACACGAGTCACCTCCTCTCACCTTCCTCTGGCGCCGGTCAAGGACCAGTATCACGACCACGGTGATGGCCACAGCAGCCAGGGTCACCAGCACACTGGCCTCCCAGTAGCGCCCAAAGGAGCACAGCTGGACTGTGGAGTAAATGTTTGTCCAGAGAGACACGTAGAAGATCTGTGAAAGCCCAGAGAGATGGATGATGCTCAGAAAACTGTGGAAGGGAGAAAAGTCAAGGGGAGAAGAAACCCTGCCATAAATTAATTAAGTCACCTGGGATTTTTCAGAGGGTGAGAAAGGACAGGAGTTCTTTCCAATAACAAATGGGGGAGAAAAGGGTCTAGAAGGACTGAGTGAGCACTAGTTTATGACAAAAAACCACCAATCATTAAAGACAGAGACTGAACTCTTAATGATGATTCATACCTAGGAAGGATTTCAATCCACTTCTTCCATTTAGATAAGAAATGCACTTGCTGAAGCATATTGATAATACTTGTAATAGTCCCTCTATTTAGAGAGCTCCTATGTCAGAGCGCTCGAGGTGGTGCAGAGGCTGCTCAATTACAGCAATGCTCAAATGATGGACGGTGACCCTGGGCTCAAGGACTATGCTAAAGACTAGCAAATGTGGCCTTTGCATAAAAAACAGCAAAACTGAATTTGTTTGGCCTTCAATTCAGGTGTCGGGCACTGGGCAGAAGACTGCCTAGAAGCAAGTAGGGTACATGCAGCACATCTTGTCACAGCATCCCCTTGCAGTGATACAACTCATTGCCCCCCCGGGAGTACCCAAGGCCAGGCTGGACAGGGCTTTGAGCAACCTGGTGTGGTGGGAGGTGTCCCTGCCCATGGCAGGGGGTGGAATTAGATGATCGTTAAGGTCTCTTCCAACCCAAACCACTCTAAGATTTACACTAAACAGGCACCAAAGCCCTCAAAACACCGAGCACAAACTCCTGTGATATTAGTGATAGGAGAACATGTATATAATGACTACCAAAAAAAAAAAAAAAAAGCATCTAAAATGAAGGAGTCAGTTTTTACCATACCTTCAGCATGCTGGAAAGTAACATTAAGGTAGCTGCTAGTGGCTGGGGTCTTTGCAGGAGCTTGTTTTGCCAGAAGCAGCAAAGCAAGACTAGATAAACCACCTGGTAGCCTGCATTGCCTGGGCCATTGGTCTGAATGAGCATCAGGACCAGGTCATCTTAAAGTTAAAAAGAGCATGATGGGGTACTACCAGCTCAGCAAATTCTGGTTACCAGCCCACTCTGAGGGGACTACCGGCAAGAGGCTGGGGAAGGCGTCTCGCCCTGGTTTTGGAAACACATCTACGGCAAGCCTGGGAGAAGCCCTTACCACAGCGATGGCGATCTGGAACGCCCTGGAGTTGTAGAACATGTACCGCCTCACTTCGGGCTTCAGGATGGCCTCCTGGATTAACGTCCTCCACTCGTCTGCTGCCACCTGCTCGGGGAACAACCTCAGGTCACCGGCGTGGGGCTCAGAGCCACCAGAACAGGCCTGGTGGGGCCAGGCCCCAGCAAAGCAAACCGGGCCCCGGGGCACCTTCCTGTGCAGTGTACCAGGCTCCATTCCCACCTGTACAGCTGTCACGGGCCAAAAACCTGTGTCCTTGCATCATTTGCAGTGAGTGATATCTCCCTGGAAAGCGCAGGGAAAGTCAGAAGAGAAAAGCGTGGTTTTATGACAAAGGACAAGGCGAGACCGATTGTCCCGGGGTGTTCCAGCACACCGGAGTGCTCTCAGGCAATTCGGCTGAACCTACGCTGAATGGGTTTCTTCACGGAGGTTTAAGCCAAGATCATTACACTTGACTTGAAGTCAATGAGGAATAGATTGAAATTAAACTGAAACAAGTCACTCTTCAACCAAAAAAAGAATAAAAATAAGAAGTGCCTGTGGTCTGGGTGCAGGTGCAAACGATGCCAGTCCTGTACCCACTCCTACAGGGCCCCGGGGGAGTGCGGCGCTTACCTGAACCCCGAGGGACTTCAGCTTCTCTGCACAAAGCTCCATGTCGAAGGAGGTGGCCGAGCAGTTATTGTCCATACTGAGCACCATGAGCACCTGCCCATTGGGGGGGTCTGCAAGAGGAACACAGGCCCCCCCGACGTGCATTAACTGGCTGCAGAACCCCCTTGGATATTTCCCAGAGCATCACGAAGAGCTCCAAAAGCAGCCCAGGGGCCTGCTGTCCCCTGTAAGGAAGGCACCTACGACAAAGGAGGAAACCCAAAGCACATTCCAGGGGCGAGCAGTCACAGATAACGTGATGCTCTGACCCTCAGCAGGATAACGCCTTGTCTCGCTGATCCTTAACTGGGAGGACAATGGACTCGAGCTGCTCGGTGCTGGTAAGTCTCCCTCAGAGATTCCCCGTTCCTACCCACCCCACCCACTGGGAGGAAACACTCCAGCAAACAAACCAAGGCGTTTTCCAACAACCACATTGTCTGGGATGTGGCTGGGCTGTCCCTAAAGCATGATCCCTACAAGCCTCTGGCGACCAGGTCCCTGCTCTAGCATTGGCAGCGCGGCTCTGCTCAGGGCTCCCTGTGATTCCGGCTTCAGCTAGGGCTAGGATCAGAAATGTAATCTATGGACCCAAGCTGCAGGCAGAAGCCCAGGAAGCGTGAGGACAGCCTGCCCTAGATTTGAGGAGCTGACAGCTCGGAGCTGAGGCAGAGCAGCCTTGGAGCTGCAGAGCAGAGCTGTGATCTGGCATCCCATCTGGCAGCTACCTAGAGTTTACACAAGCTGAGCTACGCCAAGAGGAAGAGATCAAATCCAAAGAAGTGGCGTGTTCAGATGAGATCGTGTTTCATCGACATGTTTCACACAATTTTCCTGCCCCTCTGCAGCTCCAGGGCCAGCCAAGCGTCCCTTGGGTTGCTCCCTGACAACACCTGCTCAGTGCTCTCCACTCAGCTGTGCTGGCTGAGAGGCAGCGCACACTCACCCTTCCCTTCTCTCCTGCTTTCGTCTTCCATCTTCATCATCTCTTCACTGCTCGGGAATGGGAGATGCCAAATAAAATGAGGCAATTGCATTACGAAAGGGCGTGACAGCATCGGCTCCAGAAGGGAAGAGTAGATGCATCTGAAACCTCCAGGATAACGACGTCCTGTTTGTTTGCCAAGCTTAATCTCCTCCAGACACTGAGCCACAGAGGCGGTGAGGATGAAGCAAGAGTGAAAACAAATGGGCTGGGCTCTCCTGTTCCCCACGGCTTTGGTCAAGCTGATTGGCACAAAGCCTATTGGGTGCCAAGCTCAGATACCCCAAACCTGCAGAGGGGCTCAGCTCCTTGACCTCTGCTGGGGTAACAAGAGCTGCTTCACCCTGCCGAAAGCTGAGTGCTAAGGAAGTGCTGTGAATTGAGCAAGCAAGAACCTGCTGAGCACAGCACGCAGGTCTCGCTGCAATGGGGCACCCATGGCACTACCTTCTGCCTCCGCACAGCGCTGAACCACGGCTGCAGAGAGGGAGCAAATTGGTACCGGGGAAGAGAGTCCCTTGGAAAGAAAAGCACAGGTCGAGTTTCCCAAAGATTGATTGACTTTTGAAAGCTGAGAAAAGAGGGCTTCAGAGGACCTGGGTTTCAATAGCTAGACGGTCATTCACTCCTAAATATCAGGCTTTCCAAAAAAGTAAAGTGTATCCACCCCCTTCCCCAAACACCGAAACATCCATAAGATTTGCTTACTTTTGCAAATGAGGTGCTGTCAGTGAGCATCGCTGAAAAACCTGCCACCTGCCAATTTAAGGGCACTGCGCTCAGCACTGCATCTCTCAGCAAGTCCCCAGAGTCACAGAGCAGCCCAGGTTGGAAGAGGACCACAAGAGACCACCCGGTCCAGCCTCGCTCGCTTACCTTTCGCCCACTGCAGGGATCCTTCCTTTAAATCGCTCTTGCAGTAGAAGATGGAGGAAAGGGACCCGTTTTTCTCAATTCCACCAGCTTGGCTTTTGTAGGCCATGCTGATAACCTCTCCTTCGGCGACTCTGCGTCGTGTTGTCAGAAGTTCAGCACTTCATCTCCCTCCCTTATCTTTGGCGGCTCAGAAACACCCAGGCAGCAGGCAGCCAGCCTGCTCTTCCTGTTGGGGACCAGGTTGTGAAATCTTCACTCACACTCCCACTGGAGGCTTCCTCGAGATTCTGCTTTCCATGAGCAAGGAGGCATTTTCTAGCCCTGTAAAGAGGAAAGAAAAATGCTCATACCTTGCAGAGAGAGCAATTAAAGGGTAAGAGCACAGAGCCCTTGGGTGCACCCTGCTCTTTGGAGCCTGCGCCCTGTGGATGTTACCACTGGGCGGGTGGTGGCCAGCCATGAGCGCAGCACACACAGGCTCTCCTTTTGCTTCAAATACTTCTTTTTTTGCTGCCATTAGGTGAAAAAGGTATCTCCAGATATTCCTTAAATTATTCCAACGTCCTTAAATATTCACACTGTGCAAAGAATCGGCCACGCAATAGAAAAGGCTTCTCTTTGTGAGGGCAGAGTGGGGAATTCCCCAGCAGTCAGCACAGGAAACACGCACGCACCTGCGTAAGGGCGAGCAGCCCTGCTCAGCCAGCAGCAGCTCTTTGGCACGCTCTGCTCATCTCTGCCACCCTCCTCTGCTCCCCGCCGTGCCCACGGGTATTCGGTGTGAATGCTGCCGGCGTGGGGCTGCAGCCGCCAGGAGCTGCGGGTGGACTGTTCAAACCCAGGGCGCGCAACTCCAAAGTTTAATCACCTTCCTTTCAGGCAGATCATCTGCATCCCTGCCGGCTCTCCAAAGCTCTTGTTTCATTTTAACCTCATCTCCTGCGTTGCTTTTGCACTGGGAGCCTTGGTTTGAAGGTCCCTCGTGGATCTCAACAGCTCTCCTTTGAAAGGGATCGCTTCGCTTTCTTTACCGGTGGCTGTTGCTGCAATCACCCCCTTGCACAAAGCCAGGAGAGTCACCAGTGAAGGACTGACAGACAGGAAACTGAGGCAAGGGGAGCCGCACAAAAGGTTCAGATGGTTGCAGAAAACCTGCAAAGGGCTGGAAACTCAGCTCTCAAAGCAGCCAAGCCCTGGTGCAGGAGGTGCGTATTGTGCCCGTGTGCCTGGGATGGCCGCGGCACCTGCTCTGAGCGCTGGCTGCTCCCACGTTTTTACAGTTTTACTCCAGAATGAGTCTGCTGCACGTCCAGTCCCTGTGCAACAGCCCCTGGTGAGGCACCCACAGTGGATCACACTGCTCTGCAGCGCGTTTTCCTCGCAGAGCATGGGCAGATGTGTTACCCAGCACATCCCCAAGCACTGAAAGTGAACTCGGGGAATGTCACTTCCTTCCCCTTGGCCTTCAATCCCTTCAGTTCAGTGTCAAACAGAAGGGAAAATGAAAAACAAGACAAAATAAAAAATAAAAAAAAAAAGGAGAGAGCGAGAAAACAGGAGACAAAAGGAAACCCTAATTAAAACCTGCCACCTTGCTCTCGCTGCCATCGTGTTACGTTAGTGATGAAGCAAGGCTCTGTGCTCCCGAGGTGTCCGAGGCACACGAGTCCCACAGCAGCCCCCAGGAGCTGCCAGCGACCTGGTGCCACAGGGCCAGGGCAGCTCACTCCAGGGCCCGCTGAGCCTTCCCCAGCACGGGCAAGCCCCAAAACAACAGAAGCTTTGTTTTACACCAATCGTGCACTATAGACCTGGTTTGGCTCCATTGCCTTTCACTGCAGAATGTCTGCCTCTGCAGGGAAGGTTCGTCCCCCCACGTCTTCCCCTGTGCTAACCTGAGGAGTATCCTTACCTCCTGCACTCTTATTTTCTATGCAAAGCCATTCCCTTCGCCTCCTTCAGCCTAAGGACCTTCCCAGACACCTCCAAGCCCCAGCTATCTCAGCAAGTCCTGCTGCTGCGATTTTGGAGAGGCTGCCAGAGGCTTACCTCGCCCGGCTCGCCTCCTGGTCCTGGGGTGCCGGCTCAGCTCCCTCACCTCCTCCTCCTCACTGTCCTTCACCCGGCACCGCTGGGCTCCCACAGCAGGACAGGAGGGTCCCAGCCCGAGCGGGGGACACAGCTGGGACCTTCCCTGCCTCTCCCTGGAGGACGAGTGATGAGGCACTGCGAGCTGAAGGCGAGACGCCTGCGCCCCCGCACTCCCCGCTCTCATTACCCCAAGCTGCAAGCACCGACTTGCAAAATCTCCCTGGTGCATGTGACTTTTCCCCAGGCTCGCTTCAGAGCCGTGGTTTTAACCCTCTGCAGTTCCTCAGAAACGCTTCCCCATCAGGCGCGGCCATGGGAGACTCAGCAGCAGGAGCTGGAGTCACCTTTTGAAGGGTGGGGTTCCGGACCTGGACCCCAGAGGGCTTCTTCAGAGGGGGCACGAGCTGAGCAGTGGCGCAGTCCGAAGGCTCTCCTCCTCCACCAGCTGGGCAGGATTCACCAAATACAAATCCCAAAGTTGCAACAGACGAGTCGCTGCGAAGACATTAGTCAGAGCCAAGCATCAGCAGCAGGGCTGGAGAGATCAGGAGAGATGAGCAAAGATCTCAAGGCTGAGAACGCGCTGCTGCTGAATTAGCACAGGGTCACAGCAAAGCACAGGGGAGCAGAAGTAATGGGGAGGGACCCGCAGCCCTCCTCAAAACAGGAGGCTGTGCTGATAGGGAGGGCGGGTGGGGTTTCCTCTCCATTATGTGCTCCAAAAAGCAAAGAAGGGTTGGGCACGTGGCCAGACAGACCCCCCCCCCCCCCAAAAAAAATAAAAAATAAAAAATAAAATAAAAAAATCATGTCCTGGGGGCAGTGCTCAGCCTTCAGGCCAAGGGGTAGTGCTGGGGATCACAGCATCAGAGCCCACCAAAAGCTAGAGGGTCCCCAAAGGCTAAGAACGGAGTCAATAAAATTTCACAGTGCCTGCTAGTGAACAGTTAAAAAAAATAAATAAAATGCTTCATTGCCCTGTCAGAGAACACTTCCTGGAGAAAAGGCTGCTCTGCTCTCTGAGGGCTCGGTTTCTGCAACCCTGTTGGCTCCGGACTTTGCTGAGCAATGTGTTCATTAAATCACATGGCTGCACGGGGAAGAGAATTGTCTCCAAAACCACTTACCACATGGGATCTTGTTACACTGGGAGCTGGCAACTCGCAGAGTAACATCACCCAGGTACTGAGGAAATCACATCAATCTCGCCGCTGTCGCTCGCTGAGGCCTGGCTCACATCCCCACCCAGGGCAGGCGAAGCGTTGGGCTCGTTTGCAAACGCTCATCAGATCTGGCTTCGTTTCCTCCCCTCCTTGCCCACGCAAGGATCCTGACAGAGGCAGAAGACGGCGACCAAAGTGCTTAGAAAGAGCATCGTCAGCTCACTGCGGAAAAGCACCCAAGGCACTGTAGGGACAAGAAGCCTGAAAGCAATTCCCCTAATTACCTGCAGCACGTACACCATACACCTCGTTTAGCAAGAAGCTCGTGGGTGCACTGATCTTGGCATCGACGCCTCGTGCTATCAACACCAGCAAACCCTGCCAACGAAAGAGGGGTGTTGCAAAAATCAGAGAAATAAAAGAAGCAATTCCAAGTTTAAAGGGCTCTGATGCAGCCAAAAGGCTTTAAACCATTCAATCTCCAGGCTCCTAACCAAGGCTGAGAGACGGTCGCAACGTGCCAGAACAAATGCACGCTGTGGCTGGAGAAAGCCTGCTGAGAGCCCCTGGTTTGTGCCTACCCGAGGAACCAGGGAGGAAGCCCCACAGCACCTCACACCAATCTAAACCAAACGCAAGGCTTTCCAGCTGCTTTCTGAGAGTTTTCCAGCCCCCCACCCCCCTGCACTTGCTAATCCCAGGATCACACCACGCAGGTGCTGGCCCAAAGGAGCTGGTGGAGCTGCAGGTCGGCTGCGTGGAGCCCAGGCCTCCCAGCCCAGCTCGTCCCGACTCCAGCAGTCATCAAACGCTCAGAAACCTCTGCCAGGTGTCAGTTTTCTGAGCACCTTATTCAGGGCGTAATTTTGGTGCTTTTGTTAGTCAGATGAGAGCTTACCTGGTATCTTCTCCCTGCGAGCAGACACCCTGTAGCCACAGGGAACAGATTAATCACTGAATGTCTTACAGGCTACTTCAATAAACAGCACGTGTATTTCAGATTCTAGCCTGCCAACAAGCGAGGCTTTGCACAGATGCCTTTATAGCCAGGCTCCTGAAGCACAAAGCTGTGTCTGTAACGTTCCTGTCCCACCTGGTAACAGTCCCACCAAAACTTTAGCATTAAGCAGACGGAGAACAGAAATTCAAGCCTCTTAAACCAGCAGGGAGTACTGCAGATACAAAGCCAAACAGTAAACTAGAAGGGAATTTGGAAGGTCAGGCCAAAGCTCACCAGAAAGAAGGAACTTTCTGCCTGAAACAGAAAGAGGACACTGGCAACATCCCAAGCAGACGCGAGGTTCTGCGGCTGCACGGCGCCCAGCTGACACCCTGGGCTTTGTTTGAAAAGCCAGGCAGAAGCAAAAGAGGCTGTGCCCTGTGAGTGGAGGTCTTCCAAATGTCCCCAGGTTGGGCACTCGAAAGCTGAAATGGGAATGAGTGAAATTAAAACTGAATGAAAACGCAGACTTTTCTACTCCAGAAAGCAACGCGTTGGCTAAAAGCTCTGCTTGCACAGGCTGGCAGGGGAGCTGGTTTTGTGTAAACCAGAATTAAGGCAGCCCGAGGGTTCTCTTAAGCTTCCCTCTTCGGTGTCTGAAGAAGCAAGTCCTGACTCATGTTAACCCAGGGCAGAGCTGCTGGCAGAGCCTCCCTCTCCCACTTCACTTGCTCTCACCTGCCGGTCCCGGAGGCACCGCAGCCTGCAGCGGGCTCGCTCGCCCTGCTGGGCAGCACCCCCAGGCTAAATCGTTCCTGGTGCAAATTAAGCCGATGACTCCTAGCCTCAATGAACCTGGTGTAAAATCAACACCTGCCCTCTCTGAAACAACTCCTGGCTTATTTCAGGTCTCCTTCATTCTGTCACAGGGCCTCAAAGCTCCGCATCCAAACCGGGGGCAGAGACCTCACCCCGTGCACAACCACAAGGATTTCTGACTCCTCCATCTGACCCGGGACACTCGTATTAACGTGCTGCAGCACAGCGGCATCTCCAAAACCAAGACATTTGCCGGCTGAGTCTGGGGGAAATTTAATTGTCACAGTTTCTGCAGCGCTGTGCAGCTGGTTATTGGTTGGGTTTCTGTATTTGATCTCACCTTTCTTAGCTCAGTTTTGGACTTCTCTTTGGGGAGTTTCATGCTATCAGTTTCAGATCATTTCTCCCATTTATCAAGATCATTTTAAATTGTAATTCAGTTCTCTGTACTGTTTGTATCTCTTCCCAGCTTGGTGCCCTGGACATACATTATAACTGTACTCTCTATTCCATCGCTCTGCATTAATGAATAAATTACAGGGAACCTGATTCCGGGAAAAAAACACTGCCATCTGAAATGCTTCCCCAGCCCGACAGCAGCCAGTTAGCCCTGTCCTCTGGGGTAACCTCATCCTCTGTCCTCTTCTCAACACCACTTCTGAGATCCTGCCACTTACTTCAAGTCCCCCTGCTTTAAATACTGAGGCACATACTTTTCAGTCTCTTTTTTTATTTTCTTCTGACCCCCAAGACCATATTCTCAATTAATTACATGGTTTTACAAAAATATTTTTTCTGCAATATCTGAAACCAGCCAAAGCTGATGGCACATCACTGTTATCTCTGCCCTGTTTGCAGTGCTCTGCATGCAGCTGCAGGCTCTCCCTTCGCGGGTCTTGTTTGCAGCTGTGCCTGCTGCAGCAGCGAGCAGCAGCCAACACAGGCAGATCTCATTTCTTTGGATGAATCTGCACTTTCAGCAGAAGTTGAAGATAACTTTCATCAGTTTGTTGTTTTTTTTTCCAGTGAGCCTTAATGAGGAGAACAAAGTTGTCGAAAGCCTCATCTTGCCCTTCCCCTCTTCCAGCACACAGTCTTCTGTTACAGACGGCTTTTTTTTGTCAAACAGCTCCACAAAGCTGACAGATTGACAGTCATTAAATACAAAAACTTCATTTCACAATATTCCTAAAATACATGTTTCAAATGAAAAATGACACTTGCTTAAAGCATAAAGTGCGGTTCTTTTTCTTCCCTATTTCTGCCTTTTTTCCTATGAAGACTTAAAATATTATGCTTTTTATTATGGTAATGCAAAAGCCTCTTTCTTGCACCTCAAATTAAAAAGAGGACACTTGCTATGTGCCTTGGATAATGATTTGGCTATTGATTCAGCTGGTGCTTTATTAGATTATTTTGAGACAGCCTAATATAATTTCATACCTATTTATTTTCTATTTCTATGCCAGTCCAAGATACAATCTTTTCTGCAAGAAATTAATACTTTCTCCTTTCAACCTCAAAGAAAGATTAAACTAACCTTCTTACTTGGATTATTTTGGGGAACTGTCTTTCAGCGAAACATTTATCTTGAGGGTTTTTGATAGTCTTTTTACTAATGCTTTGAAGCCAAAACCTCAGTTGTGAACAGTCGATTCTAGGCTTTTCTTTCTTATTTTGCACTAATGCAAGAACTACTGGTGTCACATAAGAGAAAAAGATTCCAGATGAGGAAGGAAACAAAGGAAAGGAAAAACAACCAGCTTTCATGTAGGCAAAGAGAGAGGAAGGTAAGAGGAATGGCATTGTTCTCACATGGTTATCTGCAACCAGCTGGTCCTGCTTGCTGCGTCTGATGGGCACGGGTGCAGGGAAAACAGCAGGAAGACAAGGACTGCCAGCAGCCTGATGGGCTTATTCCTAGCCTTAAAAGCTCCAGGCTTTTTAAAGATCATCAGGAATTGCGTAGGGGTCTTGCAAAAGCAGGAGGAATTTAAGGTTGGCCAGTTTGGATTT